TGGCACTTTCTCTGCAGCCACAGTTCTCTTTGGCCACCCCACTGATCAGTTTGGACCCTGGAGTTAATGTTTTTAGGCTTAAGGGGAACCTAGGAAGGGTCACTGAGCCTGATTGTGCATGAGGTACTGCAGAATGAAACCACGTTATGGTGGCCAGATCGAGCAAATAAATAAATAATACAGGACGCCAGGGAAATAAATCAATAAATAAACAAACAAACAAATAAATACAGGACGCCAGGGAAAACTTGTTTTTCTCATACAGCCTCCTGAGTAGCTGGGGTTACAGGCACCCGCCACCGCTCCCAGCTAATTTTTGTATTTTTAGTGGAGACAGGGTTTCACCATGTTGGCCAGGTTGGTCTTGAACTCATGACCTTCAAGTGATCCATCTACCTTGGTCTCCAAAGGGTGAGATTGCAGGCATGAGCCACCACGCCCAGCAACTCTATGTTTTAGATTTGTAAGAAACAACCAGGCTGTTTTCCAAAGCAAACACCCAGTTAAATTTAAATTTCCATAAACAGTGAATATTTTTTTCAGTGTAAGTATGCCCCCTGCAGTGCTTGGGACATAGTTAATCTAAAAAACAATGTGTTGGCTGGGTGTGGTGGCTCATGTCTGTAATCCCAGCACTGTGGGAGGCTGAGGTGGGTGGATCCTCTGAGGTCAGGAGTTTGAGACCAGCCCGGGCTACATGGTGAAACCCTGTCTCTACTAAAACTACAAAAATTAGCCGGGCATGGTGGTGTGCACCTGTAATCCCAGCTACTCAGGAGGCTGAAGCAGGAGAATCACTTGAACCCGGGAGATGGAAGTTGCAGTGAGCTGAGATCGTGCCACTGCACTTCAGCCTGGGTGACAGAAGAAGACTCTGTCTCAAACAAAACAGAACAAAACACAAACCAATGTGTTGGTTGTCTGAAATTCCAATTTAACTGGGAATTTAATTAAAATGTTATTTAATGAATGATGACTATAAGTGAGTTTGTTAAATGAATGAATAGATTTTCTCCTGGCACACTCCTATGCATCCTTCAATACCCTTTTTAGATGACCCTTCAGGGGCATCAGGGTCTCTTGGCCGCATGGAGGGAAGCTCCCCTCTCCTCGGGCTGAAGGTCTCTGAGAAGACAGAAGCCAAGTGGGTGGGGAAGTCCTGTGTTTTACCTGGCAATCCTACAGTAAGCGAACTTCGGGCTGTAGCTTGCTTACCCCAAGTGATGAGAAGCTCATGTCCCGCAATGTCCTGTTGTTCTGACTCTGAGCAGTTCTGCCTCAAAGTACCCCTTCAGTTCAGCCTGGGGTGGACATGTGACCCAGAGTCTTTTATCCACCTCAGCCTGCGATTGGTTCAAGGTGGACATGTGACCCAAGCTCAGCCTATTAGAGCCCTCCCTGGGACTTTGAATGAAATCCCGGCGAAAGAGGTTCCCTGAACCAGGGTTGGGTTGTGCATATGAGAACCTGCTGGGCAGAGAGCCACCAGAGAGGTCTCAGATGCCCTTGCTCCATCTGGGGAACTACTACACAGAACTGCCTCCCAAATGATCCCTCAATGGGCAAGAAGGAGTGCTTATTGACTGACTGAATGACTGAATGAATGACTGAATGAATTAATGCAATTTTTCTAGGGTGAACACCTCTACAGTCTTCAAGATCCACTTCAGATTCTCTGAGAAGCAGAGAACGGGGCGGGCGCGGTGGCTCAAGCCTGTAATCCCAGCCCTTTGGGAGGCTGAGGCGGGTAGATCACGAGGTCAAGAGATCGAGACCATCCTGGTCAACATGGTGAAACCCCATCTCTACTAAAAATACAAAAAGTTAGCTGGGCGTGGTGGCGCGTGCCTGTAATCCCAGCTACTCAGGAGGCTGAGGCAGGAGAATCGCTTGAACCCAGGAGGTGGAGGTTATAGTGAGCTGAAATTACACCACTGCACTCCAGCCTGGGTGACAGAGCAAGACTCTGTTTCAAAAGTTAAAAAAAAAAAAAAAAGAAGGGCATGGTGGCACAAGCCTGTGTCTCAGCTATATCAGAGGCTGAGGTGGGAGGATAGCTTGAACCTGGGAGGTTGAGGCTGGAGTGAGCTATATTATGTCACTGCACTCCAACCTGAGTAACAGAGTGAGACCCTGTCTCAAAAAAAAAAAAAAATTAAACATCTTCAAATGATCCCCCAGAGGCATTAGAAAGTCCTGGTTGAATGATGAAAATTGTTCTCATTGATGGATGATGCCTATAAGTGAGTTTTTTAAAGGAACGAATGGATTTTCTCCTGGCTAACTCCCATGCATCCTTCAACACCCTCTTTAGATGATCCTCTGTGGCATTAGGGTCTCTTGGCCACGTGGAGGGAAGCTCAGCCCTCCTTGGGCTGAAGGTCTCTCTCCCTGAGAAGAAGGCGGAAGCTGAGGAGGTGGGGAAGTGCTGTGGTTCCTCCCGTCATGTTTTCTGGGGGCCCCCGTGACTTGATCCTTCCTGCTTTGCCCTCCCCCCAGTCTGTGGGCCATCTGAAAGTGGGGCAGCCCTGGGAGCTTATCGCAGATGAGCTTCTGGGGTAACTGGGCGGGGCCGTCAGGGAACCACACAGGGCCTCCTGGTGAGCCTGGAGAGGGAGGAAGGAGGTGGGCGTGCTAAGATGTGGCAAGGGGAAGGTGGGACATGGCAAACTTCAGAGGGAGTGTCAGGTTGTAACTTTGATAAGGGGAGAAATACCACCTCACCTTTGTCTGGGGTACCCCTCCCGTGCACACACCTGCTATGGCTCCCTACTGCCCTCGGAGAAAGCCCATCAAGGGCCCAGCCCATTGCCCCACAGCACCCCAGACCCACTGTATCCATCTTGGTGGTTGCACCTCCTCTGGACTTTTGCCTCTGCTGTGGCCTCTGCTGGAGATACCCTTTGATTCTATAAATTCTAGCTCAAGTGTCCCTCCTCCAGGCAGCCCTCCCTGCTTTACTTCAGGGCACCCGGTCTCCATCTGTCTCTGATCCCAAGGGGCTAGGGGCATCTGTGTCCAGCTTTTCACCTCCTGGGCCCTGTATCTCCCTCCCCTCCAAGTTTTTCCAACAGCTGCCAGACAGAGGCCACTGTGGAAAAACAACAATGACTAATCACACTAGCCAGAGGATGGGCAGCTCTCACTGTGAGCCAAGCCCTCCTTCATACTCACAGCAGTGCATTTTGTAGATGGGGAAGATGAGGCCTCGGAGGGCCGACTTTGATGGGGGTGGGGGAAGCCCTGAGGCACAGTCTCTACTCTGGAAGGGGCCAAACTCTGGTCCATGAGGGGCGGTTTGAATCCATCTCTTCACCTCCAGCTGGGGCCTCAGGTGGCTTGAATGTCCCTGGACTCAGTTTTCCCATCTGTGAAATGGGGCAGGTGAGGGATTCTCCGGGAATTGGTGGAGTCAGGGGGTCTCAGGATTGTCAGTAGGGGCCCTGATTTTCCTCTAATCTCTCCCTGTTTCCTCCAGCTTTCTTGTTATTTTCTGAGACAGGGTCTTGCTCTGTGGACCAGGCTGGAGTGCAATTAGAGCTCACTGCAGTCTCGACCTCCCTGGCTTAAGCCATCCTTCCGCCTCGGCCTCCCAAGTAGCTGGGACTCTGGGCGCCTGCCACCATGCCCAGCAAATTTTTTTTTTGAGATCGAATCTTGCTCTATTGCCCAGGCTGGAGTGCAGTGACGAGATCTGGGCTCACTGCAACCTCCACCTCCTGAGTTCAAGTGATTCTCCTGCCTCAGCCTCCTGAGTAGCTGGATTACAGGCACCCACCACCACCACACCCAGCTAATTTTTGTATTTTTAGTAGAGATGGGGTTTCACCATGTTGGCCAGGATGGTCTTGAATTCCTGACTTCATGATCCGCCTGCCTCGGCCTCTGAAAGTGCTGGGATTACAGGCGTGAGCCACCACACCTGGCATAAATTTTTTATTTTTTGTAGAGGTGAGATCTCACCATGTTGCCCAGGCTGCTTTTGAACTCCTACCCTAGAGCAATCTTCCCACCTTGGCCTCCCAGAGTGCTGAATTACAGGCATGAGCCACCCTGCCTGGCCTCCTCCATCTTTATGTATCTCTGTATCTCTGTCCCTCTCTCTGTCTCTGCCCCTCCCCCAGGCCTCACACATCCATCTCCCAGCTGACCCTGGCCTGGGCCCTGGGGCCAGAGAAGGCTGTTCTGTATGGGGTCACAGGGTCCCCGTCCCCACTGTGCCAGGCCCAGGACACTGAGTCTTTGTCCCCAACTCACTGACCTCATAGCCTGCCGGGCGCCTGACCCTGCCCAGTCCAGCTGCCCCTTGGAGCCAGGCTTCTTGGAGGAGGGGCCTCTTCCCAGGAGGTTGAAATGCATGGCATGGCCCTGCCCACTTGGGCCTCAGTTTCCCCAGATGCTCACCCCCAGGAGAGACCCTCCCCCTCTCCCTCCTCAGTGCCCAGGACTCTGAGAATATTCCTTTTTTCTGTAGTTGATGCACCTCACATAACCGAAAATTCTCCCTCTCTTGCCCAGGCTGGAGTGCAGTGGAGCGATCTCGGCTCATTGCAACCTCTGCCCCCCGGGTTCAAGCGATTCTCCTGCCTCACCCTCCTGAGTAGCTGGAATTACAGGCGCCTGCCACCATGCCTGGCTAATTTTTGTATTTTTAGTAGAGACAGGGTTTCTCCATGTTGGCCAGGCTGGTCTCGAACTCCTGACCTCAGATGATCCGCCCGGCTCGGCCTCCCAAAGTGCTGGGATTACAGGAGTGAGCCATCGCGCCCGGCCGGAAATTCATCATTTTAAAGCAGAGGATTCAGTGACATTTAGCACATTCACAGTGTTGTGCAACCAGCGCCTCTCCTGGTTCCAGAACACTTGCATCACCCCAAAAGGAAACCCCGCATACATCAGCAGTCACTTCTCACTCCCGCCTCCCCCAGCCCCTGACAACCACTCATCTGCTGTCTGCCTCTGTACATTTTCCTATTCTGGGTATTTTATATAAGTGGAGTCATACAATATGTGCCTTTCCTGTCCATCTTCGTCCACCCAGCATGATGGGGTTTTTTTGTTTTTTGTCTTTTTGAGATGGAGTCTCACTCGGTCACCTGGGCTGGAGTGCAATGGCAAGATCTCTGCTCACTGCAACCTCTGCCTCCCGGGTTCAAGTAATTTTCCCTGCCTCAGCCTCCTGGGTGGCTGGGATTATAGGCACATGTCACCACACCTGGCTAATTTTTGTATTTTTAGTAGAGATGGGGCTTCACCATGTTGGCCAGGCTGGTCTCAAACTCCTGACCTCAGGTGATCTGCCCACCTCGGCTTCCCAAAGTGCTGGGATTACAGGCGTGAGCATGATGTTTATTAGGGTTCATCCATGCAGTAGCTTGCGTTAGATCTTCTCCACTGACATTTAGAGGCTTTGCTGACAGTGGGGAGGGAAGGGCAGAAAACCAAATACTCAGAGGCTAAGAAATGAAACGGGGAAAAACTAAGTTGCATGTCTTAATTTTTTTTTTTTTTTAAGAGACAGACTCTTGCTCTGTCATCCAGGCTGGAGTCAGTGACACGATCACAATTCACTGCAGCCTCAGACCCCCTGGGATCAAGCTATTCTCCATCCTAAGCCTCCTGAGTAGCTGAGACTATGGCTGCACGCCACCATGCCCAGATATTTATTTATTTACTTGCTTATTTAGAGATGGAGTCTCGCTCTGACGCCCACTCTCGGCTCACTGCAACCTCCGCCTCCCAGATTCAGGCGATTCTCCTGCTTCAGCCCCTTGAGTAGCTGGGATTACAGGCGTGTGTCACCACACCCACCTAATTTTTGTACTTTTAGTAGAAACAAGGTTTCACCATGTTGGCCAGGCTGGTCTTGAACTCCTGACCTCAGGTTATCTACCTGCCTTGGCCTCCCAAAGTGCTGGGATGACAGGCATGACCACTTCGCCCGGCCTAACTTTTTATTTTTTCTAGAGATGGGGTCTTACCATGTTGCTCAGGCTAGCGTCAACTCCTGGGCTCAAGTGATCCTCCCACCGTGACTTCTCAAAGTGCTGGGATTAGAGGTGTGAGCCACTGAGCCCAGCCCTAAAGTTGCATCTTTTTTTTTTTTTCTTTTGAGACGGAGTTTTGCTGTTGTTGCCCAGGCTGGAGTGTAATGGCGTGATCTTGGCTCACCGCAACCTCCGCCTCCCAGGTTTAAGCAATTCTCCTTCCTCAGTCTCTCAAGTGGCTGGGATTACAGGCATACACCACCACGCCCTACTAATTTTTGTATTTTTAGTAGAGACAGGGTTTCCCCATGTTGGTCAGACTAGTCTCGAACTCCTGACCTCAGGTTATCCGCCCGCCTGAGCCTCCCAAAGTGCTGGCATTAGAGGTGTGAGCCGGCACGCCCGGCCTAAAGTTGCATCTGAAGGAAAAAAGACATGAGGATCCAGGTGCGCAAGGCTGGAGCTTGAGATATGGGGAGGTGGGCATTTTGGGGGGCCAGCACGCTGCAGGCTCTTTGTAGAATTTGTTGGAAGGATGAATTCAAGCCATCCAAGAACACTGCTGTCCTTCAGCTCTTGAGCCTCAGTCTCAGAAGCTGGCTAGATGGCCAGGTGAGGTGGCTCCTGCCTGTGATCCCAAGGTGGACAGATCATATGAAGCCAGGTGTTCAAGACCAGCCTGGGCAACATGGCAAAACCCTGTCTCCAGAAAAATTGCAAAAATGAGCTGGGCATGGTGGTGCATGCCTGTGGTCCTGGTTCCTGGGGAGGCTGAGGTAGGAGAATGGCCTGAACCAAGGGAGGCTGATGTTGCAGTGAGCCGTGATCGCACCACTGCACTCCAGCCTGAGCCACAGATCAAGACCGTGTCTCAAAAGAAGAAAAAAAAGGATTTGGTAGCTGTGCATGGTAGCTCACACCTGTAACCCCAGCGCTTTGGGAGGCTGAGGTGAGAGGATGTCTTGAGGTCAGGAGTTCGAGACCAGACTGGCCAACATGGTGAAACCCTTTCTCTACTAAAAATACAGAAATAACCGGGTGTTGTGGCAGGTGCCTGTAATTCCAGCTACTCAGGAGGCTGGGGCAGGAGAATTGCTTGAACCCGGGAAACGGAGGTTGCAGTGAGCAGAGATCGCACCACCCCATTCCAGTCTGCGGGGGGGTTCCATCTCAAAAAAAAAAAGAATTTGGCTAGAGAGGACCAGGGACCTGGCCAAGTGCATGGAACCACAGGTAGCCCATGAGGCTGGCTCCTGGGAATTCTGGTCAGATCTGGGGTCAGCAGGACAGAACCCCTAGAACCCTGACTTGCCCCAAAGGAGTCTGTGGCCACTACCATCACCAGCTCTGCAGAGCTGACTTCCTGGGTTTCTCTTTCACTTTGACTTGCCCTAGGGATGGGCTGTGACACTTTTATTCTTTTTTCTTTCTTTCTTTTAATCTTTTTCCCTTGCTCAGCTTCAAATGTGTTCCGGAGTGGGGACCGGGCGGCTGAACCTCGCTGGTGGCAGAGAGGCTCCCCTGCAGCTTCAGGGCTCCACGTGGATCCAATGCGGCTGCTGGTGACCTGGGTGGTCCCCCTCCTCCCCCTCCTCCTCCTGCTGTCCAGGCAGGGCGGTGAGTCCCCCTACCCAGGCATGGCGGCCCCTCTTGCTGGGGGGAGGCGCATGTGTGTGTGGACAGCCGTGGGCCTGCTCTGCGGGTTGGTTTCATCTCTCTGCCTCAGTCTTTCCTGCTGTCACATGGGAGATGGGCAGCCATGGCTTCTGGGATCAAACTTAGATATCTTTCCTCTGGTCTTGCCTTTTCTTCTGTGAACTTCACTAGGTCTTGATTTTCTCTTCTGTGAAATTCATGGGTCTTGATTTTCTCTTCTGTGAAATTCACTAAATCTTTTCCACCTCTTGGCTTTAAATGAGAAAAGAAACCAAGGAAGGGATGAAAAGCAAGTATGTATCTAATAGGTATACATAGGCTAGTATCTTCTATGTGTCATTTAGAAGAGATAGACATACATAATATAGTGTATACAGTCAGCTCTCTCAGTATCTATGGGGCAATGGTTTAGGACCCTCTGCAGATACGAAAATCTAAGGATGTTCAAGTTCCTGATAGAAATGGTCAAGTATTTGCATATAACCTACACACATCCTTCTGTATACTTTATTTATTGGTTGAGACAGGGTCTCACTCTTTCACCAGGCTGGAGTGGTGGTCTGATCGTAGCTCACTATAGCCTTGACCACGAGGGCTCGAGCGATCCTCCTGCCTTAGCCCTTGAGTAGCCGGGGCTGCAGGTGCACACCTCCATGCCTGTTTAATTCTTTTTGCAGAGACAGGGTCTCACTGTGTTGCCCAGGCTGGTCTCGAACTCCTGCGGCCAAATGATCCACCCATCTCAGCCTCGCAAAGTGCTGAGATTACAGGCGTGAGCCACCGCGCCTGGCCTTGCCAAATACTTTAAATCATCTCAGGCCCAGTGCAGTGGCTCACTCCTGTAAATCCAGCACTATGGGAGGCCAGGACAGGTGGATCACTTGAGGTCAGGAGTTCAAGACCAGCCTGGCCAACATGGTGAAACCCTATGTCTATTAAAAATGCAAAAATTAGCTGGGCATGATGATACATGCCTGTAATCCCAGCTATTCAGGAAGCACACTTGTCCATTCACCCAGAATGTCTTGACAGCCACCCTGTGCCAGGGCCTGGGCATACCACTGAAGATGCCCTCCAGAGTGCATGGCCCATCCCCAAAGACTCACTCCCTTTTCCTTGACCAACAGGAGAGACTTCCACAGCCAGGATCTGTCCCCAGGAGCCTCTCAGGGGTGAGTACTTGGGGCAAGGGGAATAAGAAGCTGGGACCAGACCTTTGGGCCTGGCGGGTGGAGGATTCAGCTCCGGACTAATGAGATCTACACTGGGGATCAGTGGGTGTCCCACAGAGAGGCTGTCATGCTAGGTTGGGGCACTGGCTGGCTGGGCCTCAGTCCATGCTAGGATAAGATAGGGACAAATCCTCTGGCCCCAGCCTAATTCCTGGACATTGGTTGAGAAGCACAGGTGACAGCTAACAGAGGGATCTTTGGTGTTCTCCTCGGGCAGCCCAGGGACCTCGGCATCAGAGTCCGTGTAAATGGGAGGCTGCCTGGGGTGATGGAAAGAGCACTGGACGGACAGTCATGAAGTTGGGCTGTAGTCCAACTCTGCTTCCTGACCAAATAGAGAATTTTTGAGGCTGGACGTTGTGGCTCACGCCTGTAATCCCAGCACCCAAGGCAGGCAGATCATAAGGTCAAGAGATCAAGACCAGCTGGGCCAACGTGGTGAAATCCCATCTGTACTAAAAATACAAAAATTAGTCAGGTGTGGTGGCACACGCCTGTAGTCCCAGCTACTCAGGAGGCTGAGGCAGGAGAATCACTTGAACTTGAGAGGCGGAGGTTGCAGTGAGCTGAGATCATGGCACTGCACTCCAGCCTGGGTGACAGAGCGAGACTCCATCTCAAAAAAAAAAAAAAAAAAAAAAAAAGAAAGAAAGAAAGAATTTGAGCCAGTTACTCTCTGCTAGTTATTATGCTAGTTATTCCCTGAGGTGGGAGAATAGCTTGAACCCAGGAGGCAGAGGTTGCATTGAGCTGAGATCACGCCACTGCACTCCAGCCTGTATGGCAGAGCAAGACTCCATCTCAACAACGACAACAATAATAATATTATATAAACTTTCCTTCCTGTACACTGGGGATTAGTGGGGTGCTGACTGTTTCACTGGCTCTGGTGATGCACTGAGAGCCTGTAGTGTGCCCACAGCAGTGCTGGCCACACCTCAAGGGCCAGGCATGGCTGGAGACCAGCAGCAGGGAGTGGGCCAGGGGCAGCCCATGAGGTGGCTTGGAGATAGTGGCAGTGAGTGGTCAGTCCAGATGGAGGGAAGGAGGATGGGCTTTAGGCTGTCAGGGGTTGCGGGGAGGGGTGTTCTGTTTCATCACAGAGAGCGATGGAAGGATAGAGAGCCCTGTGTGTTAAGCGCCCTTCCTCCCCCAAGGTTGGACCCCTGGAGCTGTTCCCTGGGGTGCTGCCTTCTCCCTCAAGGCTTCTGATCTGCCTGCAGGGCTCAGGGCAGGTCCTTCTTTTGGGATGAGGATGTCATGCTCTTCCTGAACCCATCCATAGTGGCATCCCCCTCCCTCTCTCACCCAGTTCCACACCTGGCACACAGTGGCACTCCCAAACAGCACACGGGTCTCAGTGGCTGAGGGAGGTCTCTGCCTCCTGGGGAAAGGTTACTGATCATTGCTGCAACTGCTGGTGGGCCCGTGCGCTTGCCTGGGCCAGCCTTGGCAGGCCTCTCCCTGCCATGCAGCCTCTACTGTCCCCATGCTGGCTTCAGACACTGGCGCCAATCTAGGCACACCTTACTTCTCTCTGCCCTCCAGACTGTGGATCCACTGTTTTTTCCTGCTGGGGGGGACCTCCTGACAGTGTCTCCCAAATACGCATCTCAACCTCTGAGAACTAATGGGTGGTGGATGAACGGATAGACAGGTGGATGGGTGGATAAATGGGTGAATAAATAAATGAATAAATGGGTGAATAAATGAATGGGTGGACGAATGCATGGATGGATAGATGAATGTGTGGATAAATGGATGGGTGGGGGGTGTATGAATGAATGGATGAATGAATACATGGATGTGTGGATGGATACACTGGTGAGTAGAGGAGTGGGTGAATGGATGATAGCTGAATGAATGCATGGATGGATGGATGAATTCATGGATGAAGACATGGATGGATCGATGAATACATGGATGAATGGATGAATGAATACATGGATGGATGGATGAATGGGTGAATGGTGGGATGGATGGATGGATGAATGGGTGAATGGTAGGATGGATGGATGGATGAATGGGTGAATGGTGGGATGGATGGATGGATGAATGGGTGAATGGTAGGATGGATGGATGGATGAATGGGTGAATGGTGGGATGGATGGATGGACGGATAGATGGGTGGATGGAAGAATGGATAAATGGATGGTTGGATAGATGGATGGGTAGATGGGTGGATGGATGGATGAATTCATGGATGGATGAATACATGGATGGATGGAGGAATACATGGGATGACGAACGGATGGATGGATTAATGAATACATAGATGGATGGGTAGATGGGTGGATGGCTGGATGGTGGGGTGGGTGAATACATGGATGGAAGGATGGATGGATGGCTGGATGGTGGGGTGGGTGAATACATGGATGGAAGGATGGATGGATGGATGGATGGTGGGGTGGGTGAATACATGGATGGAAGGATGGATGGATGGATGGATGGTGGGGTGGGTGAATACATGGATGGATGGATGGATGGATGGATGGATGGATGGATGGGTAGATGGTGGATGGATGAATAAATACATGGATGGATGGGTAGATGGGCAGATGGATGGATGGGTGGCAGTGGTGGATGCATAGGTGAGAAGGTGGGTGGGTGGGAGGGCTGATGATCACTTGGGTGTAGACCCCCAGGTTGAGCCTCCCCCCTACACAGTGCAAGACCAGGGGTGTCCTTATGTCTTCACTGCCTTTGCAGCTGCCTGCAGAACCAGCGAGTGCTGTTTTCAGGACCCGCCGTATCCGGATGCAGACTCAGGTTCGGGGCAGCTCCTCATGGTTGACTGAGGTTATGCAGGGCTCGGCCTGACCCATTCACAGCAGCCCCTCCGTCGGCCTTCTCCACCCAGCCAAAGACCTGGCCCCACCACGGTGTTGGGAGCCCCCACCCCAGCCCCTGCTGGCCCGTTCTCACCAGGTTCAGGGTGTCCTGGGGCAGCCAGCAGCCTCGCTGAACCTCATCCCTTCCCTAGCATGGTCTCAGGGCTGGTGTCTGTGTCTGTTCAGACTGCTCAGTACATTGGGAAAAGTACCCGTTATAAGCATAACCCGATAAATTATTGGAATATTTATTTCATTTATTTATTTTTGAGACAGAGTCTTGCTCTGCTGTCCAGGCTGGAGTGCAGTGGTGTGATCTCAGCTCATGGCAACCTCCGCCTCCTGGGTTCAAGCCATTCTCCGGCCTCAGCCTCCCGAGTAGCTGGGATTACAGGCACCCGCCACCATGTCCGGCTAATGTTTGTATTTTTAGTAGAGACGGGGTTTCACCATGTTGGTCAGGCTGATCTCGAACTCCTGACCTCAAGTGATCCACCCACCTCAGCCTCCCAAAGTGCTGGTTTCCAGGCGTGAGCCGCCGTGCCCGGCCTTACTGTTGGAACTTTATGCTCATAATGCACCCTGCAAGGGGTCTGACACTGACCAGACGCACTGTTCGTTATTTTGTTTGATAATGATTCACTGAGCACCTACCTGCAGACACAGTTCTAGACACAGGGACCGAGCCCTGCGCTCAGCTGACCTCCCAAGGTCACAGCCTAGTGGAAGAGACAGACAACAGGCAAACAAATGTTTATACTGCACGCGATGATGCGTTAGGATTCGGAATAGGTGGAGGGAAGAGATGGCGGGAGACAAGGTGGGAAGGACGCAGGGAGGGTTTAGGCTGAGGTGACTCCGAAAGATGTAGGCATCACCAAGATTTGTCCCAGCAACGAAGAGCCCTCCAGACTCTGGTCTGTTCCCAAGCCCACAGGATCTCTTCCAGGCTCAGCCTCCGGCCCCAGAAACCTGAGCTGCTATCGGATACCCAGTGCTGGATACGAGTGCTCCTGGCAGTATGAGGGTCCCACGGCTGGGGTCAGCCACTTCTTGAGGTGCTGGTGAGGACCCCTCTTCCATTCCCAAACCCTCACCCACCACCCGACTCTTGCTCCAGCCACTCTGGTGCCCCTGCTTTCAGATTCGCGATCTCAGCTGGCTCGTCACTCTTTCCCTGGCTTCCGCCTCTCAACTAAGAAGAGAGGGTTCGAGATTGTTGGGGGGGTGCTCAGTGAGGGTAGGCATCCCAGGTGGGTGTCCATGAGGGCCTTTCGAGTTCTTCTTTCTGCTTCACCCTTTCACTTCTCCATTCATTCATCCACCCATGCATCCATCCATCCATCCACCCATCACCCATCCACCCACCCACCCATCCATCCATCCATCCATTATCCATCCATCCGTCCATCCACCCATCTATCCATATATGCATCCATCCATCCATCCATTATCTATCATCCATCCATCCACCCACCCATCATCCATCCATCCATCCATCCATCCATTCATTTTTTTCTTTTTTTGAGACGGAGTCTTGTGCTGTTGTCCAGTCTGGAGTGCGGTGGTGCAATCTTAGCTCACTGTAACCTGTGCCTCCTGGGTTCAAGTGATTCTCCTGCCTCAGCCTCCTGAGTAGCTGGATATACAGGCTCACGCCACTGCACTGGCTAATTTTTGTATTTTTAGTAGAGACAGGGTCTCACCATGTTGGCCAGGTTGGTCTCTAACTCCTGGCCTCAAGTGATCCGCCCGCCTCAGCCTCCCAAAGTGCTGGGATTCCAGGCATGAGCCACCGTGCCCAGCCCTTTCATTTGTTTCTTCTCTCGTGGCACAGTCCATGCTGGGAGATACTAGGGTCCCTCAAACCCCTCCAGTCCCAGACTGATCTCCAAGGAACCGCAGGCTGGGGGAGGAGGTGTACAAGAGGCAGAAAAGGATGCCGGGTGTGGTGGCTCATGCCTGGAATCCCAGCACTTTGGGAGGCTGAGGCGGGCGGATCACTTGAGGCCAGGAGTTAGAGACCAGCCTGGCCAACATAGTGAGACCCTGTCTCTACTAAAATGCAAAACTTAGCCAGATGTGGTGGCGTGTGCCTGTAATCCCAGCTACTAGGGAGGCTGAGATGGGAGAATTGCTTGAACCCAGGAGGTGGAGGTTGTAGTGAGCCGAGATTGCACCACTGCACTCCGGCCTGAGTGGCAGAAAGAAACTCCATCTCAAAAAAAAAAAATAAATAAAATAAAAAAAAAGATGCTGGGATGTGATACACAAAGCTGGCTATGGGGTCCACTAGGACCCCAGACTCGATACTGACACCCTCCTTACTGCTGCAGCCTTAGCTCCGGGCGCTGTTGCTACTTCGCCGCAGGCTCAGCCACGCGGCTGCGGTTCTCCGACCAGGCCAGGGTGCCTGTGCTGTGCACTGTTACACTCTGGGTGGAATCCCGGGCCAGGAACCAGACAGAGAAGTCTGCTAATGTGACCCTGCAGCTCTACGACTCAGGTTAGCACCGCGTTCTCCTCCCCTCCTTTTTTTACCCAGAGAGGCCATCAGGCTGCAAAGCTGGAGCTGGAGGGGATTCCGGGCCCTTGGCCAGGGGCTTGATACTATCATGCTCCTAGCCATTCTCACTTCCTTGTGTCACGTAGTGTCACACAAACACTATTGTGGCAAAGCAGTCTTTTAATGTCCCCTTACCAATCCCCTGTTACTGGGCACTTGGGTGGCTTCCGGTTTCTGCTCCCCATAATGCCGCCGGGACCTGACTGGGTTCTTAACATCTGTTCTCATGACTCAACGTCATGTATTTGGCCGGGCGCGGTGGCTCACACCTGTAATCCCAGCACTTTGGGAGGCCAAGGTGGGCGGATCACGAGGTCAGGAGATCGAAACCATCCTGGTTAACAGGGTGAAACCCCGTCTCTACTAAAAATACCAAAAATTAGCTGGTTGGGGTGGTGCATGCCTGTAGTCCCAGCTACTCAGGAGGCTGAGGCAGGAGAATCGCTTGAACCCAGGAGGCGGAGGTTGCAGTGAGCCGAGATCGAGCCACTACACTTGAGCCTGGGCGACAGAGTGAGACTCTGCCTCAAAAAAAAAAAAAAAAAAAATTGCATTGTATATTGAAAATTTGCTAAAAGAATAGATTTTAGGGCTGGGTGTGGTGGCTCACACCTGTAATCCCAGCACTTCTGGAGGCCAAGGCAGGTGGATCACTTGAGGTCAGGAGTTCGAGACCAGTCTGGCCAACATGGCAAAACCCCATCTATTAAAAATACAAAAATTAGCTGGGCGTGGGGGCGGGTGTCTGTAATCCCAGCTATTCAGGAGGCTGAGGCAGGAGATTTGCTTGAACCTGGTGGGGTGGAGGTTGCAGTGAGCTAAGATCACGCCACTGCACTCCAGCCTGGACTACAGAGCAAGGCTCCATCTCAAAAAAAAAAGAATAGATTTTAGGTGTTCTTACCACATACCAATAAAGTAACTATGGAAGGTGATGAATATATATATATATTATGTGTGTGTGTGTATATATATATATATATATATATATATATATATATATTTTTTTTTTTTTAAGAAATGAGGTCTTGCCATGTTGGCCAGGCTGGTCTCGAACTCCTGGGCTCAAAAGATCCTCCTGCCTTGGCCTCTCAAAGTGCTGGGAGTACAGGCATGGGTCACCGTGCCTGGCCATGGATATGTTAAATTGCTCACGATAGTAATCATTTAACTATGGATGTGTATATCAAACCATCTTACCTCTTAAATGTATACAATGATATAGCTGGGTGCGGTGGCACATGCCTGTGGTCCCAGCTACTCAGGAGGCTGAGGCTGGGGGATCGCTTGAGCCCAGGAGTTCTGGGCTGTAGTGTGCTATGCTGATTGGGTGTCCGCACTAAGTTCGGCATCAATATGGTGACCTCCTGGGAGCGGGGGACCACCAGGTTGCCTAAGGAGGGGTGAACCAGCCCAGGTTGGAAACGGAGCAGGTCAAAACTCCCGAGCTGATCAGTAGTGGGATCGCACCTGTGAATATCCACTGCACTCCAGCCTGGGCAACATAGCGAGACCCTGTCTCTATAAAAAAAAATACGATGATATAAAAAAGAATCAGGCAGGGTATGACCACGGTGCAGCAAGACTAATTGATGTCTCTCCTTAGGTCAGTTTCCTTGAAATTGATCTAAAAACTAAGATTTCCCTAATAGTTCTAAAAAAAAAAATCAATTATTCTCTGGCAAGCAATTTACAAAAGTGCCTGTCTCATCAGAGCCTTGCCAGTGATGGGTGTTAACATTTTAAAGATATCTTCACTAGTAGGATCCTGTGTATAAATCTTTATTAAAAAATTATTTGTTGGCCGGGCACGGTGGCTCACGCCTGTAATCCCAGCACTTTGGGAGGCTGAGGCAGGTGGATCACCTGAGCTGGGGAATTCGAGACCAGACTGACCAACATGGAGAAACCCTGTCTCTACTAAAAATATAGAATTAGCCAGGCATAGGGGTGCACACCTGTAATCCCAGCTACCTGGGATGCTGAGACAGCAGAATGGCTTGAACCTGGGGGGCAGAGGTTGCAGTTAGCTGAGATCACGCCATTGCACAGCCGCGGAGTCTCGCTCTGTCGCCCAGGCTGGAGTGCAGTGGCATGACCTCGGCTTGCTGCAACCTCTGCCTCCCAGGTACAACCCATTCTCCTGCCTCGGCCTTCCAAGTAGCTGGGATTACAGGCATCCACCACCATGCCTGGCTAATTTTTGTATTTTTACTAGAGACAAGATTTCACCATGTTGACCAGGCTGGTCTCAAACTCCCAACCTCAGGTGATCCGCCTACCTTGGCCTCCCAAAGTGCTGGGATTACGGGCGTGAGCCACTGTGCTTGGCCTTATTTTTGCTTTTAGAGACAAGTTCTCCCTCTGTCTCCTAGACTGGAGTGCATGGTGGGATTAGGGCTCACTTCAGCCTTGACCTCCTAGGCTCAGGTGATCCTCCCACCTCAGTCTCCCAAGTAGCTGGAACCACAGTCATCAACTACTGGGCCAAGCTAATTTCTATGTAGAGATGGGGGGGTTGTCTTGCTATGTTGCCCAGGCTGGCCTCGAATTCCTGGGCTCAAGTAATCTTCCTGCCTTGGCCTCCCAAAATACTGGAATTACAGGGTAAGCCACCATGTGTGACTTGTGTCTAAATCCTGACTTTTTGAATCACAGAATTCCAGGCTTAGCTGGGACCTGCAAGGTGTCCCCCAGTTCTTAGTTAGGCACTCAGTCGCTTACCCTGGGCTGGGTGGATTTTCAGGGCCATTAACTCACATACATGTGGTCCGCCGCCCAACGCCAATCCCCACCTCCGCTTCCAGTTAGATACGAGCCACCTCTGGGAGACATCAAGGTGTCCAAGTCGGCCGGGCAGCTGCGTCTGGAGTGGGAGACCCCAGACAAACAGCTTCGTGCTGAGGTGCACTTCCGGCGCCGGACACACGGCAGCCCGTGGAAGCTGGTGAGTTTGTTTCCCGAGTCCGTGGTGGGCACGGGCGTCTCCAGGGCATCTGCACCCCCGAATCAGTCTCACCATCTCTGCGTCTGTCGCTCCTCCCAACCAGCCCCCACTCTAGCCCCTGAGGTTTTTTTTCCTAGATGGAGTCCTACTCTGTTGCCCAGGCTGGAGAACAGTGGCTCGATCTCGGCTCACTGCAACCTCTGCCTCCCAGGTTCAAGCGATTCTCCTGCCTCAGCCTCCCGAGTAGCTGGGACTGCAGGTGCCCGCCACCACGCCCAGACACTTTTTGTATTTTTAGTAGAGATGGGGTTTCACCGTGTTAGCCAAGATGGTCTAGATCTCCTGACCTCATGATCTGCCCACTTCGGCCTCCCAAAGTGCTGGGATTACAGGTGTGAGCCACTACGCCCGGCCTTATTTTTTTAATTAAAGAAAAAAAATTATTAAAAAAAAAAAAAAGACTGCCGGGCGCGGTGGGGCGTGCCTGTAGTCCCAGCTACTCGGGAGGCTGAGGTGGGAGGATCGCTTGAGCCCAGGAGTTCTGGGCTGTAGTGCCCTATGCCGATCGGATGTCCGCACTAAGTTCGGCATCAATATGGTGACCTTCCGGGAGCAGGGGACCACCAGGTTGCCTAAGGAGGGGTGAACCGGCCCAGGTCGGAAACGGAGCAGGTCAAAACTCCCGTGCTGATCAGTAGTGGGATCGCACCTGTGAATAGCCACTGCACTCCAGCCTGGGCAACATAGCGAGACCCCGTCTCTAAAAAAAAAAGACCATGGCCGGGCATGGTGGCTCACATCTGTAATCCCAGCACTTTGGGAGGCCAAGGTTGAGTGGATCGCTTGAGGCCAGAAGTTCAAAACCAGCCTGAGCAACATGGTGAAACCCCGTCTCTACCAAAAATGCAAAAATTAGCTGAGTGTGATGGTGCACGCCTGTAGTCCCAACTGCCTGGGAGGCTGAGGTGGGAGGTTGAGCTTCAGTGAGCTGTGATTGCGCCACTGCACTCCAGCCTAGATGACAGAGTGAGACCCCGTCCCAGATAAATAAGTAAATAATTTTAAATAAATAATTGTAAAACAGCAAATATTTTTCAGCACCAAAATGCAAAACAATATGTGTATACATTCTTATTCTAGGGTGACTGCGGACCTCAGGATGGTGATACTGGTGAGAATAATAATAGTAATGACAACAGCAGCTGCAGCAAGTTGGCATTAATTGAGTGCCTACTGTATGCCAGGCCCAATGCTGAGTTATTTGTGTGCCTCTTGCCCTGCCCCATAGTTCAGTATTGGATTACTCCGGTTTTGCAGGTGGGGAAACAAATCAACACTTGGGCCGAGTGTGGTGGCTCACACCTGTAATCCCAGCGCTTTGGGAGGCTGAGACAGGCGGATCATCTGAGGTCGTGAGTTCGAGACCAGCCTGACCAACATGGAGAAACCCCGTCTCTACTAAAAATACAAAATTAGCTGGGCATGGTGGTGGGTGCCTGTAATTCCAGCTACTAGGGAGGCTGAGGCAGGAGAATGGCTTGAACCCAGGAGGCGGAGGTTGTGGTGAGCTGAGATCACGCCACTTCACTCCAGCCTGGAGAGCAAGAGCGAAACTCCGTCTAAAAAAAAAAAAACGCTTGAAGACGGTGAGAAGCCTTTGGCCAAGGTCATGACCCCAGGGATGGCCATGGCCAGGACTTGAATTCAGGGCAGGGATGGACGTGGGTGATCCTGGAGGCCATAAGAGGACAGGGCCTGTCCTGTCCTTCTGAGCCCCCGGGCCCAGCACATGGCTCTATGCACAGTTGGAGTTCAGTAAGTGCATGATGGCTAAGTGACTGGTGCCAAGTCCTGGACAATTCTTTTTTTTTTCTTTGAGACGGAGTTTCGCTTTTGTTGCCCAGGCTGGAGTGCAATGGCGCGATCTCAGCTCACCGCAACCTCCACCTCCCGGGTTCAGGCAGTTCTCCTGCCTCAGCCTCCCAAGTGGCTGGGATTATAGGCTGCCACCACGCCCGGCTAATTTTTGTATTTTCACTACATTGACCAGGCTGGTCTCGAACTCCTGAACTCATGATCTACCAGCCTCACCCTCCCAAAGTGCTGGGATTACAGGCCTGAGCCACCGCGCCCGGCCCAGTCCTGGACAATTCTTACAGCCTGATGTTCAACCTGCCTCTCCCCAGAGTCCTGCCTCTGCCCCCTGGAGATGAATGTGGCCCAGGAATTCCAGCTCCGACGACGGTACCGGGAGAACCAGGGAAGTCTCTGGAGCAAGTGGAGCAGCCCTGTGTGCGTTCCCCCCGGTAAGATCAATCTGGGAAGAGGGGCAGGTGTTAGAAATAAGGCCATGGCCGGAGGTGGTGGTGCACCCCTGTAGCTCCAGCTGCTTAGGAGGCTGAGGTGGGAGGATCACTCGAGGCCAGTGATTTGAGACCAGCCTGGGCAACATAGTGAGACCCTGTCTCTAAAAAATAAAATAAAAGGGGGCTGGGCGCGGTGGCTGATGCCTGTAATCCCAGCACTTTGGGAGGCTGAGGTGGGTGGGTCACTTGAGGTCAGGAGTTCGAGACCAGCCTGGCCAATATGGAGAAACCCCATCTCTACTAAAAATACAAAAATTAGCCAGGTGTGGTGGTGCATGCCCGTAATCCCAGCTATGGGAGGCAGAGGCAGGAGAATCACATGAACCCAGGAGGTGGAGGTTGCAGTGAGCTGAGATCACGCCACTGCACTCCAGCCTGGGCAACAGAGTGAGACTCCCTCTCAAAAAAAAAAAAATAAATAATAATAATAATCAAATAAAATGGAAAAAAGAAATAAGGCAGCAAGAATTAGAAACAAGGCGGCGAGTGTTAGAAGTAAGGCAGAGGGAGAAAGGAATGCTCAAATCCAGGCAATGTGGCATCTGGTACTGCTGCACCCACTCTAGGGTGTCTTGTTTTTTGTTTTGTTTTGAGACAGTGTCTCGCTCTGTCCCCCAGGCTGGAGTGCAGGGCCATGATCTCAGCTCACTGCAACCTCTGCCTCCCGGGTTCAAGCGATTCTCCTGCCTCAGCCTCCCTAGTAGCTGGGATTACAGGCGCGCACCACCACGCCTGGCTAATTTTGTATTTTTAGTAGAAACAGGGTTTCGCCATGTTGGCCAGGCTGGTCTTAAACTCCTGCCTCAAGTGATCCTCCTGCCTTGGCCTCCCAAGGTGCTGGGATTCCAGACATGAGCCACTGTGCCCAGCCCACTGTAGGACTTTAATAAGTGAGAATCATCGGGTCGAACCTCACAGTGTCTCAGGGACAATATCACCTGCAGGTGGCTGGGGTACTAAATGAAAAATGAGTGAGAGGGTTTCAAACCATGCAGAGAGGCCTGGTGCGGTGGCTCAAGCCTGTAACCCCAGCACTTCGGGAGGCGGAGGCGAGTTTAAAACAAGCCTGGGAATCAATACGAGACCCCGTCTCTATTCTATAAAACAGCAACCACAACAAAACCATGTAGAGAAATACATTTGCATTCAAAGAAAAACTTAAGAGGCCTGTCATGGTGGCTCACGCCTGTAAGCCCGGCACTTTGGGAGGCTGAGGTAGGCAGATCACAGGGTCAGGGGTTCGAGACCAGGCTGGCTAACATGGTGAAACCCCATCTCTACTAAAAATACAAAAATTAGCTGGGCGTGGTGTGTGCCATTAGTCCCAGCTACTTGTGAGGCTGAGGCAGGAGAATCACTTGAACCTGGGAAGCAGAGGTTGCAGTGAGCCGAGATTGCACCAATGCACTCCAGCCTGGGCGACAGAGAGAAACTCTGCACCACCACCCGCTCCCAAAAAAGCAGGCAACGTGAAATTACAGGTGGCAGTTATTCCTGGGGACACAAATGGTGTTAATTTTTCTTTCTCCAGTTTTCTCTCTTTTCCGCATTCGGGGCAGCGAGGGATTTTCACTTTGTGAATGTGGAGAATCCATTATTTACAAACAAAACATCCGACAGTCTTTCTCTCCTTTCAATTTGTGTGGTTGATTTTGTTCTAATGCAGAAAACCCCCCACCACCTCAGGTGAGGTTCTTGGTGGAGCAGCTGGGCCGGGATGGCAGGAGGCGGCTGACCCTCAAAGAGCCGGTAATGGGGCTGTGACAGGGCTGTGGGGTGGCCTGGGATGGGGAGCAGGAGGCAGAAGGCTGGAGGGGGATGAGCAAGTGGGAGATGGAGGGAGACGAGATGTAGAGACGGCAGGAAGTGGGCAGATTGTGGGTTTAATTCTGAAGGTAATAGGGAGCCATGGAATGTGTGTGAGCAGGGGAGGGACATGACTGGACTCAGACGTTCACAGGTTTTCTCTGGCTCCTGCGTGAGAAACAGACTGTGGGGAAATTGCACAGACGCCAGAAGGAGATCAGGGTGACGCATCTGCCCGGTAGCAGATTATTGCTTTAAGTCCCGAAACAACCCATTAAATGCAGTCTGATTAGCCCCATTTTACAGAGAGGGAAACTGAGTCACGGAGGGACCATCTCTGTTGAGACAAAACTGACAAATATTCCACTCATTGGCTGTACCATAGTCGTCTTAGCCAGGTCTCTAATTGGCTGTTGCTATAAGGCTGTAGCAAAAGTCTTTTCGTTCCTATGTTCCTTTAACTCAAATTCCTTTTCTTTTTTCTTTCTTTTTTGAGATGGAGTTTTGCTCTTGTTACCCAGGCTGGAGTGCAATGGCGCGATCTCGGCTCACCGCAACCTCCGCCTCCTGGGTTCAGGCAATTCTCCTGCCTCAGCCTCCTGAGTAGCTGGGATTACAGGCACGTGCCACCATGCCCAGCTAATTTTTTGTATTTTTAGTAGAGATGGGGTTTCACCATGTTGACCAGGATGGTCTCGATCTCTTGACCTTGTGATCCACCCGCCTCAGCTTCCCAAAGTGCTGGGATTACGGGCGTGAGCCACCGCACTGCACCCGGCCTTCAAATTCCTTTTCTAAGGAAAAGTTTTCTGGCTTGAGGTAACTGGGTTAAAAGATGGAAACATTTTTGTTTTCCTGAGTCTCAGTAGGTTTTGTCACTTCCTCCCGCCTACCCAGCTAGACGTGTGCTGGAGGCGAATGCCCGTTTCACAGTATCTTTGCCAGCATTGAGGTGTATTATTTTTTAAAATTTTTGATGCATGTTATTGGCTGTAGCCTTTGGCCAAGTCTGTCCTCATAGGCTGTGTCCTGCTGTCTGCCCGTGGGATGATGAGTGTGATGAGGTCCCCATGAGCTGTCTTTCATACTCACGACAGCCAACCCAGCTGGAGCTTCCAGAAGGCTGTCGAGGGCCGGCGTCTGGCATGGAGGTCACCTACCGAGTGCGCCTCCACATGCTTTCCTGCCCATGTAAGGCCAAGGCCACCAGGACCGTGCACCTGGGAAAAACGCTCAATCTCTCCGGTTCTGCCTACAACGTGACTGTCATCTCCTGGAACCGATTTGGTCCTGGCCCGAACCAGACGTGGCACATTCCTGCTGACACCCACACAGGTGCCTCCTCTGGGTGGGGAGGGTGGCATGAGGGCCCCTCAGAGCTGAGCACCTACTCTGAGCCTCAGCTAGACCAGAATGAGATGAGTGAGGCGGGAAATATTAAGGGAGTGCCTAATTTTAGGGGTATGTCAAAAATTCAGTAGTGGGCTGAGTGCGGTGGCTCACAACTGTAATCCCAGCACTTTGGGAGGCCAAGGTGGGAGGCTCACCCAAGATCAGGAGTTCAAGGCCAGTCTGGCCAACATGGTGAAACCTGGTCTTTACTAAAAATACAAAAATTAGCCAGGCATGGTGGCGCGTGCCTGTAATCCCAGCTACTCAGGAGGCTGAGGCAGGAGAATTGCTTGAACCCGGGAGCCGTAGGTTGTGGTCAGCTGAGACTGTGCCACTGCACTTCAGCCTGGGCAACAAAAGTGAAACGCTGTCTCAAAAGAAAAAAAAAAATTCAGTAATCAGGATCCATAATGCAGTTTTGTTTGTTTGTTTGTTTTTAAGAGACAGGGCTTAGCTATGTTACCCAGGCTGGCCTTGAACCTCTGGGCTCAAGCAATCTTTCTCCCTCAGCTTCCCGAATAGCTGGGGGTACAGACATGTGCCATCATGCCTGGATATCATGTAATATTGAAAAAAAAAAAAAGAAAAAGAAAACTAGTTGACCCACTGCACTCCACCCTGGGTAACAGAACGAGACCCTGTCTCTTAAAAAACTTTTTTTTGAGAGAGAGAGTCTTGCCCTGTCGCCAGGCACCAGGCTGGAATGCAGTGGCACGATCTCGGCCCACTGTATCCTCCGCCTCCCGAGTTCAAGCAATTCTCCTGCCTCAGCCTCCTGAGTAGCTGGGACTACAGGCACGCACCACCATGTCCAGCTAATTTTTGTATTTTAGTAGAGTTGGGGTTTCACTATGCTGGCCAGGATAGTCTCGATCTCTTGACCTCGTGATCTGCCCGCTTTGGCCTCCCAAAGTGCTGGGATTACAGGCCACTGAATCCCATTGAATATTTGAGCCACTGTGCCCGGCTTAAAAATCTTTTTAAAAGAATTAGCCAGACCTGGTGGTGCACACTAGTAGTCCCAGCTACTTGGGAGGCTGAGGTGGGAGGATGGCTTGAATGAGGGAGGCAGAGATTGCAGTGAACCAAGATCGCGCCACTGTACTCCAGCCTGGTGATAGAGCTACACTCTGACTCAATTAAAAAAAAAAAAAAAAAAAAAGAGGCTAGAGGTAACCCTGTCTTTATTTAAGATCTTTTTTCTTTTTTTCTTGTGATGGAGTCTCACTCTGTCAGGCTAGAGTGCCATGGCACGATCTCAGCTCACTGCCACCTCCACCTCCCAGGTTCAGGCAGTTCTCCTGCCTCAGCCTCCCAAGTAGCCAGGACTACATGCGTGACCATGACCGGCTCGTTTTGCATTTTTGGTAGAGATAGTGTTTCACCATGTTGGCCGGGCTGGTCTCGAACTCCTGACCTCAAGTGATTCATCTGCCTTGGCCTCCCAAAGTGTTGGGATTATAGGTGTGCACCACCATACCCGGTCTAATTTTTCTGTTTTTAGTAGAGATGGGGATTTCACCATGTTGGCCAGGCTGATCTCAAACTCCTGACCGCAGGTGATCCACCCACCTTGGCCTCCCAAAGTGCTGGGATTACAGGTGTGAGCCACCGTGCCCAGCCTACTATTATTACTATTTTTGAGCTAGGTTCTCAGTCTGTTAGCAGACGGGAGTGCAATGGTGCAATCATGGTTCACTGCGGCTTTGAACTCCGAGGCCCAAGAGATCCTCCCACCTCAGCCTCCCGAGTAGCTGGGACTACAGGCATGTACCCCCACACCTAGTTAATTTTTTATTTTTATTTTTGTAGAGACAGGGGTCTCCCTGTGTTGGCCAGGCTGGTCTGGAACTCCTGGGTGCAAGCCGTCCACCCACCTCCGCTTCCCAAAATGCTGGGATTACAGGCTTGAGCCACCGCGCCCACCCTGGTCCCCTATGATAGTGAAGTGGTGCCCATACGCTCTCAGCCTTCGCCTGGCACATGCAGTCTGCACTCCACAAACGGCGGTTGCTATCCACAGAACTGCCAGCAGTACCCGTCTCTCTGACATTTGTGCAGATGCCCTGGCGAGAGGGCGTGGGAGAGATCTGCCCAGGGACCGAGTGGGCGTGTGCTCCTGCTTCTGAGTCTGGCATGAAACCATCCGTGGGGCCGGTCAGGCCAGGGAGGCCTGGTCTTGTATCATCACACTCTCCGCCCAGGCGAGGCGAGCGGGTGGGCGGCCAGGTATCTGCCGCCGCCGGAGATGCTCGCCAGGCTGGAGGTGGGCGTAACGGCAGTACAGGAAGCCCTCACAGTGAATATCCTGGCACAGAGACAGCAGTTAGGCTGGAGGAGGACTCAGCTCATTCAAACACCATCTGCTGACTGGGTGTGGTGGCTCACGCCTGTAATCCCAGAACTTTAGGAAGCCAAGGCAGGTGGATCACTGGAGTTCAGGAGTTCAAGACCAGCCTGGGCAACACAGTGAAACCCGGTCTCCACCAAAATAGAAAAACAAAATTAACCTGTAGTCCCAGCTACTCAGGAGGCTGAGGCAGGAGAATTGTTGGAACCAAGGAGGTGGGGGTTGCAGTGAGCTGAGATCGTGCCGCTGTGCTCTAGCCTGGGCGACAGAGCAAGACTCCATCTCCAAAGAAAAAGGAAAAAAAACAGGCTGGGTGTGGTGGCTCATGCCTGTAATCCCAGCACTTTGGGAGGCCGAGGAGGGTGGATCATGAGGTCAGGAGTTCAAGACCAGCCCGGCCAAGATCGTGAAACCCCATCTCTACCCAAACTACAAAAATTAGCTGGGCCTGATGGCAGGTGCCTGTAATCCCAGTTACTCAGGAGGCTGAGACAGGAGAATCACTTGAACCTGGGTAGCAGAGGTTTCAGTGAGCCGAGATCACGCCACTGCACTCCAGCCTGGGCCACAGAGCGAGACTCCATCTGAAAAAAAGAAAGAAAAAACAAAAAAAAAAACCCCACCATCTGCCACCCACTTTGTGCCTCGTCCCCAGGGAACCTCCAGTGCAGGCAAACAGCCAAATACAGGCACCCCTAGCCCTGCAGGGTCAGAGTATAGACGAGCGCGTGAGAGAGAGAGGCTGCAGCTGGGGAGAGGGGCGGCCACTGTCTCCATAGGTCCCTCCCATCTCCCTCCAGAACCAGTGGCTCTGAACATCAGCATTGGAACCAATGGGACCACCATGTACTGGCCAGCCCAGGCTCGCAGCATGACCTACTGCATTGAGTGGCAGCCTGTGGGCCAGGATAGGAGCCTCGCCACCTGCAACCTGACTGCACCGCAAGACCCGGATCTGGCTGGAATGGGTACAGCGCCCGCCTCTGCCTCTGCGCCCTCCCTTTTAGCTCCTGGTGGGTTCAGACCTGCAAGGAAAGCACCTAGCAGGTGTCTAAGGCCCAGAGAGGTGCTGTTGCTTACTTGAGGTCACACAGAGGTAGGGACAGGGTGAGGTTTGGAACCTTTCACCCATGTGGGTCTGGAAACTCCTGCTGGCATCCTGGGCTCAGGTCCAGGCAGGTCTCACACCTGTAGGTAATGAATTTCACGTCCTTGCTGTTCAAAGAAAGTCATTAAGAGGGGGAAGTAAAAGAAAAAAAATGAATCTCACACGCTAGGGTGTTGGTTAAATATTCAGTAGCACCAAGGAAGGTGGCAGTTCGAGAGATGCTGGTGGCAAATTAATGAGGAGTCTTTAGGGAAAGGGGGACTGTGAGGCTCCGGTGGCCTCTCACTCTCCTGCTTCCTGCCCTGGGCCTGGCGGAGTCCTCGGAAGCCTCAATGCCAGCCTGTTTCTTGAGAAATTCAGAGCCTGAGGAGACGCTGGACACAGAACCCCTGGCCCTGTGACTGGGTGCAGTGGCTCACACCTCTAAACCCAGCACTTTGGGAGGCTGAGGCAGGCAGATCACCTGATGTCAGGAGTTCAAGACCAGCCTGTCCAACATGGAGAAACCCTGTCTCTACTAAAAATACAAAAAGTAGCCAGGCATGGTGGCGTGTGCCTGTAATCCCAGCTATTCGGGAGGCTGAGGCAGGAGAATCGCTTGAACCTGGGAGGCGGAGGTTGCAGTGAGCTGAGATTGTACCACTGCACTCCAGCCTGGGTGACAGAGCAAGACTCTGTCTCAAAAAAAAAAAAAGAACTCCTGGTTCCATGGACTAAGGGCTGGGTTAGAGGGGGATGGGGATGGGTTAGGGGCATTGCACAGGGAAGAGATCCTGGAGGAGGGGATACTGGTGCAAGGGCTTTGAAGCATGAGTAGGAGTTTTCTGGGGGGTTCCTGGCAGGTGGCACAGCCAGTGCAAAGGTGCAGAGATGGGAACATAATCTACTGAATGGCTTGACCTTTATTTATTCTTCCAGCAACCTACAGCTGGAGTCGAGAGTTTGGGGCAATGGAGCAGGAAAAGTGTTACTACATTACCATCTTGGCCTCTGCGCACCCAGAGAAGCTCACCTTGTGGTCTACGGTTCTGTCTGCCTACCACTTTGGAGGCAATGGTAAGCAGCCCAGACCTACGGGTTTACACTTTTGCTTTCTTTTTAAATAATTTTTAAAAATAGAGGCCGGGTGTGGTGGCTCACGCCTGTTATCCCAGCACTTTGGGAGGCTGAGGCGGGTGGATCACCTGAGGTCAAGAGTTCGAAACCAGCCTGGCCAACATGGCGAAACCCCGTCTCTACTAAAAATACGAAAATTAGCCAGGTGTGGTGGCACGTGCCTGTAATACCAGCTATTAGGGAGGCTGAGGTAGGAGAATCACTTGAACCCGGGAGGCAGAGGTTGCAGTGAGCCGAGATCGCGCCACTGCACTCCAGCCTGGGCGACAGAGCAAGACTTCATCTCAAAATAAATAAATAAAATGAAATAGAGACAGGGTCTCGCTGTGTTGCCCAAGTTGGTCTTAAACTCCTGGACTAACGCAATCTTCCCACCTCGGCCTCCCAAAGTGCTGGGATTACAGGCTTGAGCCCCCGCGCCCACCCATCTGGCACCTACTGCACATCAGGCCGGACACGTGGAGGTCAGGACGGCAAAGACATTCCGAGTGGGATTGTTCATATTTTTCTTTTTTCGGAGACAGCGTCTTGCTCTGTTGCCCAGGCTGGAAAGCAGTGGTGCAATCATAGCTCACTGTAGCCTCAAACTCCTGGTATCAAGTCATCTTCCCACCTTGGCCTCCTGAGTAGTTAGGACTACAGGCACATGCCACCATGGTTGGCGAATATTTTTCTTTCTGTAGAGACAGGGTCTCGCTATGTTGCCCAGGCTGGTCTTAAACTCCTGGCGATCCACCAGCCTCGACCTCCCGCAGTGCTGGGATTAGAGGGGTGAGCGACTCTGTCGGGCTTAACAGCATCATCCATTTTTTTTTGAGATGGAGCCTCGGCCTGATGCCCAGGCTGGATGCGATGGCGTGATCTCAGCTCGCTGCAACCTCCGCCTCCTGGGTTCAAGCGATTCTCCTGCCTCAGCCTCCCGAGTAGCTGGGATTACGGAAGCCCGCTACCATGCCTGGCTAATTTTTTATATCTTTAGTAGAGATGGGTTTTCACCACATTGGTAGGCTGGTCTTGAACTCCTGACCTCATGATCCACCCGACTTGGCCTCCCAAAGTGCTGGGATGACAGGCGTTGAGCCCCCGCGCCCGGCCTCCACCAGCACCTTGGTGCTGACTGTGACAATGGTACCGGTTGCAGCCTCAGCGGCTGGGACGCCACCCCACGTCTCGGTGAAGAATCACAGCTCGGACTCGGTGTCTGTGGACTGGGCACCATCTCTGCTGAGCACCTGTCCCGGCGTCCTGAAGGAGTATGTCGTCCGCTGCCGAGATGAAGACAGAAAGCAGGTGTCAGGTATGTGAGGCAATGCAGGCCTGGCTGGGGGAGGAAGGAGGGATCCTGGCCTGAGGTCTCCTTTGCTGTGTGACCCTGGGCACCTTACCGACTGACCCTCTTTGGGCCTTGGTTATCTTACCCTTAAAACAAGAGAATTGGACTTGAGGGTCTTTTTTTTTTTTTTATTCTAAATTTATAGACAGGGACTCGCTCTGTGCCAGGCTGGACTGCAGTGATGGCATCATAGCTCACTGCAGCCTCAGCCTCCTGGGCTCAAGCGATCCTCCCACCTCAGCCTCCCTAATAGCTGGAAGCACAGGTGCACACCGCTATGCACAGTTAGTGTTCTGTTTTCTGTAGAAACAAGGGCTTGCTATATTGCCTGGGCTGGGTTGTTTTTGTTTTGTTTTGCATGTGCCTTTTTTTGAGAGGGAGTCTGGCTCTGGCACCCAGGCTGGAGTGCAGTGGCACAATCTCAGGTACTGCAACCTCCGCCTCCTGGGTTCAAGCAATTCTTCTGTCTCAGCCTCCCAAGCAGCTGGGATTACAGAACCCACCACCATGCCCAGCTAGTTTTTGTATTTTTAGTAGAGACGGGGTTTCACCATGTTGACCAGGCTGGTCTTGAACTCTTGACCTCAGGCGATCCACCCACCTTGGCTTCCCAAAGTGCTGGGATTACGGGCGTGAGCCACTGAGCCCAGCTGAACTCGAGGGTCTTGATCACCCCTTGCAGAGCCTGGAGAAGGCTGGGTGGGCACCAGCCAAGTGCTTATGATGTGTTGGGTCTGTCCCTGGGAGGCAGCCTCTCACATGTAGTAGCAGCTCACCTCCCATCAAGCAGGGATGACTGTCTCCGTTCCACAGATGAGGAAACCGAGGCTTGGAGACGGGATCTGATAGGGGGTTTAGCTGGGAGGGTTCTCGGCTTTGCCCGGGAAAGAGTCTACAGGCAAGTCAGTGGGGTTAGACAGAAACTTTTACTGAAGTGGCCATGTGCAGCAGCAGCAGAAGTCCTGCCCCTTGTCCTATTTACACCCGCTTTTAATTATATGCAAATGAAGGGGCGGTTTATGCAGAAATAGCTAGGATGAGGGTGGTAACTTCCGAGTGTGGGTTCATTGCCATGGACAGGGGTGGTAATTTCCGGGTGTTGCCATGGCAGTGATAAACCGACGTGGCACACTGGTGGCTGCGTCTTACGGAAAGCCCCGGACCTGTTTTAGCTGGTCCTTGATTCCGTCCTGTGTCCCAGACCCACCTCCAGAGTCCAATCCCACCTCCAACCTCAGATCCACCTGCCCAAAGATCAAACAAGTCGGTCAGCCGCGGTGGCTCATGCCTGTAATCCCAGCACTTTGGGAGGCCGAGGCGGGCGGATCACTTGAGGCCAGGAGTTCAAGACCAGCCTGGCCATCATGGTGAAACCCCATGTCTATTAAAAATACAAAAAATTAGCTGTGAGTGGTTGTGGGTGCCTGTAACCCCAGCTACTGCAGAGGCTGAGGCATGAGAATCGCGTGAACCCGGGAGGCAGAGTTTGGAATGAGCCGAGGTTGAGCCACTGCACTCCAGCCTGGGCAACAGGGTGAGACTCCATCTCAAAAAAAAAAAAATCTTGAGATGAATGGGCGCATTAAGAGAAGAGATCTTGGCCGTCGCGGTGACTCATGCCTGTAATCCCAGCACTTTGGGAGGCTGAGGTGGGCGGATCACCTGAAGGCGGGAGTTCACCAGCCAGACCAACAAGGTGAAACCTCATCTGTACTAAAGGTACAAAACTAGCTGGGTGTGGCGGCCGGCACCTGTAATCCCAGCTACTCGGGAGGCCGAGGCAGGAGAACAGCTTAAACTAGGGAGAAGGAGTTTGCGGTGAGCCGAGATCGCGCCACTGCACTCCAGCCTGAGCAACAAGTGCAAGACTCCATCTCAAAAAAAAAAAAAGACAGAGAGAGAGAAGAGATTTTAGCAAAATGCCCACGAACCCGCGCCCCGCCCCCACGGCCTGGCCTCTGAGGAGTAAACCGGTCCCAGGACTCAGGGCTGCCTCCTCCACTGCAGAGCAGCACGTGCAGCCCACAGAGACCCAAGTTACCCTCCGCGGCCTGCGGGCTGGTGTGGCCTACACAGTGCAGGTGCGAGCAGACACCGTGTGGCTGAGGGGGGCCTGGAGCCAGCCCCAGCGCTTCAGTATCGGTGAGTGGAGGGAGCGGGGCCCAGTTAGCACCCAGCAGGCACTGCACTGCGCTTCCCCTAATGATCTTAGCAGCCCTGCCCTCACCCTCATCCCCCCCCATGACTCCCTACTGCCCTCAGGAGAAAGTAGCAGCTCAACCTGCTCCCACTGCCTTTTCTCACAGCTTCCTCTTACACTCCAGGGGCCTTGCCCATGCCGGCCTTTCCCTCCCTCCTGCCTGGAATGCTTGTTTTCCCCACTGTCAAACTCCTATTCATCCTTCAAAACCCAGCTCAAACGCTCCCTCCTCCAGCAAGCCTTCTCTGCCTCCTTCTGGCCACGCTCTCATCTACAACTGTTCCTCCTCCCTGGTTTGACACCCCAGGGTTGGGGGTAGATGTGTCAAGGCATCTGGGGGCTCTTGGGGAGGGGAAAGGTACAGGGATCTATTCATTGAGCGACAAGTAAACGAATGTCTCTCTCAATGCAAAAATGAGGAGGACACAGGCAAAGCCCAGTGAGGGGCTCATGCCTGTAGTCCCAGCACTTTGGGAGGCTGAGGCTGGAGGATTGCTTGAGCCCAGGAGTTCAAGACCAGCCTGGACAACATGGTGAGACCCCATCTCTACAAAAAGTATTTTAAAAAATAGCGGGGTGTGGTGGCACACACCTGCAGTCTCAGCTACTCAGGAGGCTGAGGTGGGAGGATGGCTTGAGCCCAGGAGTTCAAGGTTGCAGTGAGCTGTGACCGAACCACTGCACTCTGGCCTGGGCGGCAGAGCAAGACTGTCTCAAAAAACAAATAGAAGAAAAAGAGAAGAAAGAAGAAGAAGAGGAAGAGGAAGAGAAGAAGAAGAGAAGGAGGAAGGGGAGGGGGAGGAGGGGGGAGGGAGAGGGGAGAGGAGGAGGAAGAGGAAGAGGAGGGAGGGGGGAAGGAGGTGGGGGGAGGGGGAGGAAGGGGAGAGAGGAGGTGGGGGATGGGGAGGAGAAGGAGAAGGAGGGGAAGAAGTAGGAGGGGGAGGGGGACAACACAGGCCCTGTTGTCTGGGGTCCATGGTCATAAGAGATTCCGAGATCAAATGATCCCTGTTCACGCCATGGTGTCCTTTCAGTTCCAAGAGAACCACCTAGATCCCAGAGAACGAAAGGGTCAGGGCTGGCGTGTGGCAGCAGGCCTGGGTCCAGGGGCAGCCGCGTGTGCCCCACATGCAGGCTCCTGGAATTACAGAGCCTTCTTTTTTTTTTTTAGACAGATTTTTGCTCTTGTCACCCAGGCTGGAGTGCAGTGGCACAATCTTGGCTCATTGCAACCTCCGCCTCCTGGGTTCAAGCAATTCTCCTGTCTCAGCCTCCCAAGTAGCTGGAACTACAGGTGTGTGCCACCATGCCTGGCTAATTTTTGTATTTTTAGTAGCGACAGGTTTCTTTTTCTTTTTTCACCTGGGATCAGGTGGGCTAAGGCCAAAAAGGGCATTAGCCTGGATTTCATCATATGGGTTCAGGCTGGTCTTGAACTCCTGACCTCAGGTCATCGGCCCGCCTCAGCCTCCCAAAGTGCTGGGATTATAGGCATAAGTCACCGTGACCGGCCTGGAATTAGAGTCTCAAACACTTCCTGCATGACAGCTACCGGGCAGGTGGGTTCCGAGGCCCCCCACTGAGAAGCCCATGGCATGCGTGCCAGGGTCAGCAGCAAGTTCATGGAGAAACCGGGCCCTCCAGCTCCCTCCCTGAGCAAGAGGCAGGAAGTGCCCCTCTGCCAACCTACACTCTCCCACCCCAGAAATTCAGGGTTCTGATTGGCTCATCTTCTTCGCCTCCCTGGGGAGCTTCCTGAGCATCCTTCTGGTGGGCGTCCTTGGCTACCTCGGCCTGAACAGGTAACTGACACCTTCTCCCACCGTTACCATAGCGATGATGATGATGCCAGGCAGGGGAGCCCCAAAGTGGAGCTTATCCCACTGACAGGAAAGAATTCAAGGGCAAGCCACAGGCAGGAGAAAACAGCTTTACTGATGCAGTGGTTACAGATCCGTGGCTGTCTCTGCAGAGCGGGGCTTCCCTGGAGGCAGAGAGTAGCCACTGAGAGCAGTTTTGCAGCCAAATTTATACTCACTTTGTTTTTTTTTTTTTTTGAGACGGAGTTTCGCTCGTTACCCAGGCTGGAGTGCAATGGCGCGATCTCGGCTCACCGCAACCTCCGCCTCCTGGGTTCAGGCAATTCTGCTGCCTCAGCCTCCTGAGTAGCTGGGACTACAGGCATGCGCCACCATGTCCAGCTAATTTTTTGTATTTTTAGTAGAGACGGGGTTTCACCATGTTGACCAGGATGGTCTCTATCTCTTGACCTCATGATCCACCCGCCTCGGCCTCCCAAAGTGCTGGGATTACAGGTGTGAGCCACCGTGCCCGGCCCCTATACTCACTTTTAATTGGATGCAGATTAAGGGGGCAGTTTATGCAAAATTTCTTTTTTTTTTATTTTTTGAGGGAGAGTTTCACTCTATCTCCCAGGCTGGAGTGCAGTGGCACGATCTCGGCTCACTGCAACCTCCCCCTCCTGGGTTCAAGCAATTCTCCTGTCTCAGCCTCCCAAGTAGCTGGAACTACAGGTGTGTGCCTCCACACCCAGCATTTTTTTTTTTGTATTTTAGTAGAGATAGTGTTTCACCATGTTGGCCAGGCTAGCGTTGAACTCCTGACCTCAGGTGATCCTGTGCAGAAATTTCTAGGGAAGAGGTAGTAACTTTTGGGTCTTTGGGTCATTGCCATGGAAAGGGGTGGTGACACTGGTGGGCATGTCTGATTGAAAGCTGCTTTCAAGCCAGGTGTGGCGGCTCACACCTGTAATCCCAGCACTTTGCGAGGCTGAGGTGGCCAGGAATTGGAGACCAGCCTGGCCAACATGGCAAAACCTGTCTCTACTAAAAATACAAAAATTAGCCAGGGGTGGTGGCAGGCATTTGTAATCCCAGCTACTTGGGAGGCTGAGGCAGGGGAATTGCTTGAACCCGGGAGGCAGAGGTTGCAGTGAGCTGAGATCTCGCCGCTGCACTCCAGCGTGGGCAACAGAGCGAGACTCCATCTCTGAAAAAAAAAAAAAAAAAAAAAAAAAGGAAGCACAGTTTCCTCTGACCGGCCGCCTTTCCTCCCCAGAGCCGCACGGCACCTGTGCCCACCCCTGCCCACACCCTGTGCCAGCTCTGCCATTGAGTTTACTGGAGGGAAGGAGGTAAGGACTCTTTTTCTAATTCTTAATTTTTTTTTATTGGGTGCACACTCTAGGCCAGGGTCCCGAATTAGCCCATTTTATTCTCCCCCAATCCGTCGAGGTGAGGACTCCAAAACCAGTGCTCTAAACCCCTTCCCATTTTGAAGACAGGCAAGCAGAGGTCCATTTCCTGGCGCTAGAAACAAAACTCAGCGTCTTCATTATAAAGCACACTTGATGGAAAAATCCCAAGGGAGTGGGCTTCAGATACGGCTGAATCCAGCAACTGGGGTCTGTCTCGGAGCTGCCCCTTTAGGGTTCGCCCCCAGCCAGGCTGAGCCTTCTCTGATTGGAAGCAGAGTGTCCATTCTTCCCATAAACCGGAGCAAAAGTCTCAGGGCCATCACTGATTGGCCCAGTTGGGGTCACATGCCCTTTCCTGAGCCTATGGCTGGAACCAGAGAGGAAAAGATCGGCGGCTGGGTCAGGGTCACATGACCATTGCTATTGCTGAGGTGGGGTCGCTGCACTGCCAGCCACACCGTCTGGGAAAAGAGAGGGGAGCTGGACGTGGTGGCTCACGCCTGTAATCCCAGCACTTTGGGAGGCTGAGGCGGGTGGATCATGAGGTCAAGAGATCCAGACCAGCCTGGCCAAGATGGTGAAAGCCCGTCTCTACTATAAATACAAAAACTAGCTGGGCGTGGTGGCGCGTGCCTGTAATTCCGGCTACTCGGGAGGCTGAGGCAGGAGAATCGCTTGAGCCCAGGAGGCAGAGGTTGCAGGGAGCTTAGATCGCGCCAGTGCACTCCAGCCTGGGTAACAGAGTGAGACTCAGTCTCAAAAAAAAAAAAATTTTCCTAAAGAAAGCTGGGAGTGCCCTGAAGAGGTGCTGAATGGGGGTCACCGAGGCAGAGTCAAGCCTCAAATCAGTCTCAGGATATATATATATATATATATATATATATATATATTTTTTTTTTGAGATAGGGTCTTGCTCTGTCTCCCAGCCTGGAGTGCAGTGGCGCCATCTCTGCTCGCTGCCAACCTCTGCCTCCCAGGTTCAAGCAATTTTCCTGCCTCAGCCTCCCAAGTAGCTGGGACTACAGGTGCCCCACCAAGCTCACCTAACTTTTGTATTTTTAGTAGAGATGTGGTTGGCCATGTTCGCTAGGCTGGTCTCAAACTGCTGACCTCAAGTGATCCCACACATGCCTCAGCCCCCCAAAGCGCTGGGATGACAGGTGTGAGCCTCTGCCCCCGTCCAGGTCCCAGGATTTTAGAGAATTTACCAGCAGCGACCTGGTCCATTCCGTCCTGCTGTGAATGGGAAGTAGAGGTCTGCTCACATCCCCGGCCCTCCCCCTCCCTCTGCAGACTTGGCAGTGGATCAACCCAGTGGACTTCCAGGAAGAGGCATCCTTGCAGGAGGCCCTGGTGGTGGAGCTGTCCTGGGACAAAGGCGAGGGCACTGAACCTCCTGAGAAGACAGAGCAACCTGAGGGTGCCCCTGAGCTGGCCCTGGATGCAGAGCTATCCTTGGAGGATGGCGGCAGGTGTAAGGCCAAGGTCCTGGGGCTCAGTGAGCCGGATGGTCAGGGGTGCAACCCTGCCCAGGTGGGGGCTAGACACCCATCGCTCCTGGGAGATCCAGGCCTGGAGGCCTGAGGGAGAAACGGGAATGTCCCCTTGGTCTTACAGACAGGAAGAGCGACTATCTCAATCACGACGACTGGTTATTAAGCGCTCATGGCATACCCAGCCCATTCCATCCACTCGTGATTCCCACCAAATCCCCAGTCAACTCTTGCAAGGAACCATGGTGGTTCTATTTCACAGATGTGATCCCCGAGGCTCCAAGAGGGTGAGTGACTCACCTGAGGCTACACAGCACCCACAGGAGTTCTGTTTGGACTCAGATAACCGGGAGCTCCTCCAGGCTCCAGTGCACCTGCCTCCTGTCTGTACCGCACCTGTCGTCAGGCATCCAGCGGGGGCAGCCCTACAAGCTGCCATGAAATGAAGCGGCTGCACCCTGCTGGATCTGGCGTCCGTGGGGCAGGAGCGGGCCCTGCCATGGACCTGCTCTGGAGCAGAATAGACTGGGAATGGGGGCAAAGCGGGCCGAGATGAATCCCGGGAGCACTGGATGGGGAGTCTGGATTCAAGGGCTCCCTGCAGCATTGTGGGTCTTGGAGCTTGGAGGATCCAGGGATATGGGAGAAGGGGCTGTAACACTGTGGGGAAGATGATGATCCTCCCACCCCAACCCACCCCCTATAAAATGGGGGTGATGATAATGAGCTTACAGAGCTGTTCAGAATCACCCTAAATGAGCCTCCTCTTGGGAGTTATTTCCCAATTGAAGCTTGAATGTCCTGCTCAAAATCTCCAAATAGGAGCCTGGGAATTCATTCATTCATTCCACATTTATTAATCTCTTCTTTCTGGGCCTCCCCCAGGAGCACCTAATCTTGGGGAGACAAAGCCAGATGAGATCTCGGAACCCTGCTGAGTTAGGACTGAGCAGGGGAAGAGAGGGCCTGGGGAGTGGAGCAGCCTGGCCCTCCCAAATAGGAGCTCTTTCCTCCTCCCACCCAGCAAGTCACAGGGGCAGGACCTTTGCCCCACTTACACACCCCGAGTCCTCCCCCGTCCTGCTCACACCACCCCACCTCGCCCGCATCCTGCAGCCGCCGCCACCTGATCTCCACTGTGGTCTGAGCCGGAATGTTGGGGGGGCTCCTGAAACCCCACCCCGGCCCCCGCGATTAGCAGGTGGTCGCAGATTCCCCTCACGGCCAGCAGGTGGCAGCAGCGGCTCGCGTCTCCCCTGCCCGGCCCGCCCCGCCGCCTCCTACCGCGTTTGCTAAACAGACTTTTCCGGTTTCAGACAGAGGAGCGGAATCAAGGGCCAGAACGACTGAATTTCCTGGCAAAAAAGGATGAGGCCTCTTGGGGAGAAACCCCAGGCAGCCAATAGGGCCAGGAGGCCAGAGGCCCAGGCCCCGCCCCTTTGGTGGTGGGGAGCTTTGGTTTCCCAGTCGATGCATCTAGATGGGGAAACAGAGGCCTGGGCCCCGGTGCCCCAGCCACACGGTGGCAGCTCAGAGTGCTGCAAAAGCCACCTCCCCTCTCCGGATCTGCCGCCTCCCAGCTTCTGCTTAAGCCGTTCCCTCCAGCAGGCATGCCCGTCCCTTGAGCGCTTATCCTCCCTATTTAATTACATTTATTTATTTATTTACTGAGATGAAGTCTCGCTCTTGTTGCCCAGGCTGGAGTGTAATGGCGCGATCTCGGCTATGCAACCATTAGTCCACCTCCTGGGATCCAGTGATCCCCCAGCCTCAGCCTCAAGCTCAAGCCACCATGCCCAGCTAATTTTTTTTGTATTTTTAGTAGAGTCGGGATTTCACCATGTTGATCGGGATGGTCTCCATCTCTTGACCTCATGATCCGCCCGCCTCGGCCTCCCAAAGTGCTGGGATTACAGGAGTGAGCCACTGTGCCCCGCTTCAGTTTCCTGATTTGATGAAGCCACTTGGAGTCAAATGCCCCTAGAAAATGACCAACAGGAGGTTCTCTGGTCCTCTGCTTGCCCGTCTATAAAACTGGAAGGGATTTGGAGTCCTTATCTCAATGGGCTCAGCAAGTTTGCTTAGCAGAGCCCTGGCCTGATACTTACTGAGCAACTACTATGCAACCATTACTCCAGGGCTCCTAGAGCAGCCATGACTCAGCTTCTCGCAGCCGCTCCAGGGGTCAGGGCTGTGTTAACCCCCATTTCACAGCTCAGTTTCATTCATTCATTTAAGAAGTCAGTGTCGGGTGTGGTGGCTCACACCTATAATCCCAGCACTTTGGGAGGCCGAGGCGGGTGGATCATGAGGTCAAGAGATCGAGACCATCCTGGTCAACATGGTGAAACCCCGTCTCTACTAAAAATACAAAAATTAGCTGGGCACGGTGGCGCGTGCCTGTAATCCCAGCTACTCAGGAGGCTGAGGCAGGAGAACTGCCTGAACCCAGGAGGCGGAGGTTGCGGTGAGCCGAGATCACGCCATTGCACTCCAGCCTGGGTAACAAGAGCGAAACTCGATCTCGAAAGAAAAAAAAATACAAATTTATCAAGGCACAGTGGCACACGCCTATAGTCCCAGTTACTCAGGAGGCTGAGTCAGAAGAATCGCTCGAACCCAGGAGGCGGAGGTTGCTGTGAGCCAAGATTGTGCCACTGCACTCCAGCCTGGGTGACAGAGCGAGACTTTGTCTCAAAAAAAAAAAAAAAAAAATTAAAAAAATATTTTAAAGTAGAGGCAGAGTCTGGCTGTTGTGCAAGCTGGTCTTGAACTCCTGAGCTCAAGCGATCCTCCTGTCTCAGCCTCTCAAAGTGCTGAGATTACCGGCAAGAGCCACTGAGCCTAGTTTTATTCTTTTTTTTTTTTTTTTTTGATGTGACCTCACTCTTTCTCCCAGGAGGCTGGAGTGCAGTGGCATGATCTTGGCTCACCACAACCTTCGCCTCCTGGGTTGAAGTGATTCTTCTGCCTCAGCCTCCCGAGCAGCTGGGACTGCAGGCACCTGCCAGCACGCACTGCTGATTTTTGTATTTTTGCTAGGGATGAGGTTTCACCATGTTGGCCAGGCTGGTCTTGAACTCCTGACCTCAGGTGATCCGCCCACCTCGGCCTCTCAAAGTGCTGGGATGACAGGCGTGAGCCGCTGCACCCGGCCATTCCTCCTTTTTAAAGATACATTCACACACCATACAAGTCACCCTCTTAAGGTGTACAGTTGAGACTGGGTGTGGTGACTCATGCTTGAAATCTCACCGTTTCCAGAGGCCGAGGCAGGAGGACCGCTTGAGCCCAGGAGGTTGAGGCTGCAGTGAACTGTGATTGCACCATTGCACTCCAGCCTGGGTGACAGAGAGAGACCCTGTCTCAAAAAAAGAAAAAAAAAATACAATTTAGTGGTTTTGTAAAATCACAAGGTTGTGAAACCATCACTCATACCTAATTCTAGAACAGTGTCCTCTCCACAACAAGAAAACCTCATTCCATCAGCAGTCCCTCCCCACCTCCCTCCCCCAGCCTCTGGCAGCGACTCATCTGCTCCCTGGCTCTGTGAATTCCCCTGTTCTGGGCATTTCCTATCAATGGAATCATACAATATGTGGCCTTTTTGTCTGTTCTTTGGTGAGAGAAACTCAGATGGTTTTGAAATCCATCCTCATTACTGCGTGTATCAGGGCTCCATTCTTTTTGATGGCTGAATAGCAGTCCACTGTGTGCCTGTGTCCCTATGTATTTATCCACTCGGCCGTCGATGGACATTTGGGTGTATTCCATTTTCTGGCCTCTGCGGACAGGGCAGCTCTGAGCGTCCGTGTACAAGTTTTGGCGTAAACACCTGTTTTCAGTTCTCTCCGTTGATATCTAGGAGTGGAATCACAGGGCCCTGCGGTGCTTCTGTTTAACTTCCGGGTATTAAGGCGTGAGCCACTGTGCCTTAACAGTGTCTCTTAACAGTGGCCGTTGCAGAAGAAAAGTTACATTTTATGGAGTCGGGTTGATCCATTTTCCTTTGCTGGCTCGTGCTTTGGGTGTGCTACCTAAGAATCCTCCTGATCGTGATAAACCCCTCTGCGGGAACCTCTACCCACCCGCCCCAAGCCTCCCCCTCCTTCCCTCCCCCTCCTTCCCCGGGTTGGGGCACCTGTGTCTGGCTCCATCCCAGAATGAACCGGAGGCCTCTATCAATGTTTAATAACGGAACGGAAAGAACCTTGGCGGAGACGGGGAAACTGCGCTCGGCCCCAAGCGCTACGCGTCCCCACAAGCTGTGCTGTGATCACGCAGGGCCCCGCTTTCCAGGTGGGGAAACTGAGGCACAGGAAGATTGGGATGGGGACGCGACCTGCCGGGTGCCAGTGGCCTGGGCCGCGACCGGGCTCCCTCCCCGAGTCCTCCCCCCTCCCAGGCCCCGCCACGCCACGCCCTGGCCTGGAGCTGCTCCTGGCTCTGGTACCGGCCCTGGGCTAACCCTGCCGGCGAACCTGCTCCCCCAGGCAGTTTCTATGGAAACCAAAATACCTAGGAGGAGGGAAAAAAACACCCGCCAGGCGGGCTAGGGGTGGGGGACGGGAAGAGGAGCGGGTTTCTCCTCGGGGTTGGAGACTGGAGGGGCCAGGGGTCACACAGTCAGTCGACAAACGTCTCAAGGACCCAACGAGTCCTGGCTCTGTCTCCAACTAGCTGTGCAGCCAGAGTTTCTCCGAGCCTCAGTTTCCCCATCAGGGCCATTGGGTAGTTAACTCCCCGGGGGGCCTGTGAGAGGTGAGCGGGAGCCAGGTGAAGGAGGTGCCCGATGCTCCAAGATATCATCATCTTTAATAGTATTAAACCTTGGCCGGGCGAGGTGGCTCACGCCTGTAATCCCAGCACTTACGGAGGCCCAGGTGGGCGGATCACAAGGTCAGGAGATCCAGACCGTCCTGGCCAACCTGGTGAGACTCCATCTCTACTAAAAATACAAAAATTAGCTGGGTGTGGTGGTGCATGCCTGTAATCCCAGCTACTTGGGAGGCTGAGGCAGGAGAATCCCTTGAACCAGGGAGTGGGAGGTTGCAGTGAGCCGAGATTGAACGCCACTGCACTCCAGCCTGGCGACAGAGTGAGACTCTGTCTCAAAAACAAACAAATAAATAAATCATATTAACCCTTATGTGCTGGTGTCAGGAGCTCCAGGCAGGGGCTTCTCTGACTGGGTAGGAGGGGCCTCTTCTCCTGGTGGCTGGTCCTGTACCCCTAAACCTCTTTCTTTTTTTTTTAACCAATCAAACAAGCAGCAGTATTTTTATTTAATTTTAGTATTATTTTGACACAGTTTTGCTGTCCTCGCCCAGGCTGGAGTGCAATGACTGGATCTGGGCTCACTGCAACCTCTGCCTCCCGGGTTCAAGCGATTCTCCTGCCTCAGCCTCCCGAGTTGCTGGGATTACAGGTGCCCACGACCACGCCTGGCTAATTTTCATCTTTTTAAATTTTGAGACATTGTCTCTGTCACCCGGGGTGGAGTGCAGTGCTGTGATCATAGCTCGCCGCAGCCTCCTGGGCTCAAGCGATCCTCCTGCCTCAGCCTCCCAAGCAGCTGAGACCACAGGCTTGTGCTCAGGCGTGTCCACAGGCGTGAGACCACACCCAGCTAATTTTTGTAGAAAGCGTGCTCGCTATGCTGCCCGGGCTGGTCTTGAATTCCTGGCCTCAAGCAGTCCTCCCATCTCAGCCTCCCAAAGTGCTGGGATTACAAGTGTGAGCCACTGAGCCCCGGTCCCACCCCAGGCTTCCTCCAACTTCCTTCCTCCCTCTGTCTCTCCCTAGCTCTCATGTCTCACCTCTTCCTGTCTCTCTGTGTCTGTCTCTACTTCTCTGTCTTGCTCTATTTTTTTTTTTTTGAGACTGGGTCTTAGTCTGTCACCCAGGCTGTAGTGCAATGGCGCGATCTCGGCTCACTGCAACCTCTGCCTCCCTGGTTCAAGCGATTCTCCTGCCTCAGCCTCCTGAGTTGCTGAGATTACAGGCATGTGCTATTGCACTGGGCTAATTTTTGTATTTTTAGTAGAGATGGGGTTTCACCATGTTGGTCAGGCTGGTCTTGAACTCCTGACCTCAAGTGATCCACTCTCCTTGGCCTCCCAAAGTGCTGGATTACAGGCATGAGCCATCTGGCCTGGCCTGTCTTGCTCTCTTTGTCTCTTTCTCCCTGTCTCTCTCTCTCTCTTTGCGTATTGTCTTTCTGTCTCTCTCCTTATCTCTTTCTGTGTAATTTTTTTTTTTCCTTTTTGTAGAGATAAGTGTCTCCTGATGTTGCCCAGGCTGGTCTCTAATTCTTGGCCTCCAGTGATCCTCCCACCTCAGCCTCCCAAAATATTTGTGTCATCTTTCTAACTTTGTCTATCTCATTTCTCATCTCTCTCCCTGTGTCTCTGTCTGTCTCATCTCTCTGTCTCACTTCTGTCTCTGTCTTTCCATCTCTGTCTCCCTGTCTCTCCCTTTCTCTCTTGCCCTGTCTCTCTGTGTGTCTCTGTCTCATCTCTCTTTGTCTCTGTTTCACCTGTCTGTCTCTCCCTGTCTATCACTCTGTGTCTCTGTCTCTCACTGCCTCTGTCTCCTTGTTTCTCCGTTTTTTTGTCTCTTTTTTTAATTTTTGGAGGCAGAGTCTCACTCTGTCGCCCAGGCTGGAGTGCAGTGGCGCAATCTCAGCTCACCGCAACCTCCACCTCCCGGGTTCAAGTGATCCTCCTGCCTCAGCCTCCCCAGTAGCGGGGCCTACAGCTCCCCCTTCCGCATCAGGCCCGGCTAATTTTTGTATTTTTGTAGAGGAGAGGTTTCACCATGTTGGCCAGGCTGGCCAGGTGAAACAGAGACAAAGAGAGATGAGACAGAGACACACAGAGAGACAGGGAAAGAGAGAAAGGGAGAGACAGGGAGACAGAGATAGAAAGACAGAGACAGAAGTGAGACAGAGAGATGAGACAGACAGAGACACAGGGAGAATTCCTGACCTCAGGTGATCCACCTGCCCTGGCCTCCCACAGTGCTGTGATTACAGGCGTGAGCCACGGCACCTGGCCTCTGTCTTTTTCTCATCTCTCTCCTTGTCTCTTTCTTTCTGTATCTCTGTCTCATCTCTCCCCATCTCTCCTGTCTGTCTCTCTCTCTGCTTTTCTCTGGATCTCTCTCTGCCTTGCCTCTCCCTGCCTCTGTCTGTCTCTCAACCCAGCCCTAGGCTTCTCCAGGTGGGGCTGTGCCAACTGGGTTAGCAAGGCCTGGCCAGTGTCTGCTGCCCAGACCTTCTTGGACGACCCAGATGCCAGCCTCCCCCACCCTGCCCTACAGGCCCCTGCATCCGGCCCCATGTGAGATTCATCTCCACAGACACATCCCCAGGGACCTCGGGGGCTCCTCACTCGCTGCTTAAAAGACCCAAGCCACATGAGTCCCTCCACAACCCTTAAAGCCCAGCAGCTCAGCATCTACAACCCCCTCCCATTTTAATGCATTTATTTATTTGAGATGGAGTCTCGCTCTGTTGCCCAGGCTGGAGCGCAGTGGCTCCATCTCAGCTCACTGCAACCTCCCCCTCCTGGGTTCAAATGATTCTCCTGCCTCAGCCTCCTGAGTAGCTGGGACTACAGGCACTTGCCACCACACCTGGCTAATTTTTGTATTTCTAGTAGAAACAGGGTTTTACCATGTTGGTCAGGCTGGTCTGAACTCCTGGCCTCAGATGTGAACCACTGTGCCTGGCCCCACTCCCATTTTTAGGTGGGGAAACTGAGGCTTATTCCTGAAGAGTCTGGTGCAGATGCCCCAGCCCCAGTGGCATCACGGTCACCCTGGTCCAGCTGGCAAGCTCTGTGGCTCTCTGGCTGTCCCAGGCCTGCCGTCCCAGGGGCCTGTCCCATAAATGGTCAGTCCAGAAGGTTCCACCCTAGCATACCGGACGGCGGGGCAGCCCACCTCCAGAGCTGGGTTTCCAGCAGACAGTCTGGCAGGAAGCCGGGCCTCTTCCTTGTGGCCTTGGCTGCTGCCTGGTGCAGGTCAGGAGTGGGGACCACAGGTGATGTTTCGGGCGGGGCTTTGGGCTCAGGCTTTTTTTTTTTTTTTTAGGTATATAAACTATTAACAGAAAAGGCCTACAGACTTACTTATTTTATTTTATTTATTTATTTTTGAGACAGAGTTTCTCTTTTCTTGCCCAGGCTGGCGTGCAATGATCTCGTCTCACCGCAACCTCCGCCTTTTGGGTTCAAGTGATTCTCCTGCCTCAGCCTCCCGAGTAGCTGGGATTACAGGCGCACACCACCATGCCCGGCTAATTTTCTATTTTTCGTAGGGATGAGGTTTCTCTGTGTTGTCAGGCTGGTCTCAAACTCCTGACCTCATGATCTGTCCGCCTCAGCCTCCCAAAGTGCTGGATTACATATGTGAGCCACCGCCCTGGGCCCAGACTTATTTCTTCTTAGACACGCGCATGGTATGGCCATGGTGGCCAGTGGTCTTGGTGTGCTGGCCTCGGTCACGAATGCCCCAGAAGTGACGCAGCCCTCTATGGCCCCAAATCTTCTTCGGTCACTCCAGGTCTTCACGGTGCTTGTTGGCCAGTTAGG